AACCTGGGACCCCTATTGCAAGTTATGCTCCCTTTAAATCAAAGTCAAACTGAGCATGAATCCTAACAGACTCATCCACAGCAAAGAGAAAGTGGTAGCATTAACCTTCTCAGAGACAACACTCACCCACACCACGGCTGGACAAGCAGCCCAATTAGTTGAGTTTCAGGAATTCTCATTTCACTGAAACTCACAAAACAGTCTTTTTTTTTTAGTGTCCTTTTTGTGTTTCTTCCCTCTGGTCTTTGAAGCTCTCTGAGTTCAAGGAGAATGTCTGTCCTATTTCCCGTTATGTACCTAACACCCCGTGCGTGACCCAATGCACAGCTGGGGCTGGTAAACAGTTCTTGTGTTAGCGAATATATGCATCAGTGCCCTTTTTCCTTCGATCATTTCAGCTAAACGCAGCTAATCATTAAATGCTGCCTCTCAGCCAGGCAGGGCGCTCTTGGGAACCTGGAGGGAAGGTGAATTTAGCGTTCTTGTTAACCCATATAGGTTTCTCATGTTGTATTTTTTCCTCCCAGAGACTCACTGTCACTAAGATCTACAATAAGAAAGCAACCACAAGGAACACTGAGGTGTCCGGCGAAGTCATTTAACTTGTTTAGCCACTCCGACCGGTGCCCTTTCGGGCAGGACCACGTGGTAACTGTCACAGGGCTCAGGCATTTTGCCATCATCCCTTCTTCCAAACAATAATCAACTATTATACTTTATAACTGCTGAATACAACCGGGGCTGGATGCAGTCACATACATTTGATATTTCTAAATTCACTTTTATTGTTGTCAATGTTATTAGAGTTAAAACGTTAAAAGTAGTGTGGGTCCCCTAGACACTTGTGTCTGTGACACCCGACAGAGAAGTCAAGCCCGCTTTGGGGCTACTTGAATGGGGTCTTTCCCTAACAGAGCAGTTCTCCTGTACCATACCCTCCTTTCCCGAGGGGATGCACTTCCAGAGTCAGGAGCTTGTAGCTGACACTCATCAGGAGACCTCCCTGTTCCTGGTTAGACAGAGGAACAAACTGGGCCCTGAAGGGGAAAACCACGCCTGTGTTTGCCTGCCCCCAGTTCCAAATCAGGCTCTCGGCTCTGCTGTTGCTAAGCTGTAGAAACGATGCCTCCCCGACACTATAAAGCCCTCCTCTTGTTTATGTAAAGACCCCAATTAAACCAGAAATAGAGCTCAGGGCAGCAAACATTGTTTAAAAAAGGTTAAGACATTCAGGCCAATGCTCCTGTTCATTATTCTCTGCTGAAACCCAGTATTAGTAACAGCATGTACTGAAGACCTGCACCATGAATTAATAATGAAGCCCTTGTACTGGAAAATATGTGAGCACCTAGTTACTTTATTTGGCAGGCACCCGTGGGGACAGGAGTTTGCTCTGCCTTACACAGCACTTTCCATGATCATTTTCGCAGAATAAAACCAGGAATCAGTTATTTCCAAGGAATTTCCTGCAGGGCAAAAGATAACCGAGCAGTCCTCTACCTCCTACCTCTTCCTGGTGGAACAGACACGGTTCCTAGGAAATGTTCGGGTCCAAACCATTTCTGCTCTGGAAGTTTGACTCTCTACAAGCACCTAGTCCTGCAGGGCTTTTAATACGTACAATCTCCACCTGCTTTATCCCACCATAAGATTAAAAACTTCTTAAGAACAAAGGAAAGAAATAAATCTCTACCCAGTCTCTTGACAATGTGGTTGAGCTGCTGAGAACAGAGGTTCCAGATCAAATCAGCTATCGGTTGGAATCCTGTCTCCATGGCCCACCACTTAACAGTTCCGTGATCTCCAGCAAATCTCTTAACTCTTCTGACCCTCAGTTTATCCATCTGTAAAAGGGGGAGAACACTCACCTTTCTAGAGTCACTAAGGATGAGGAGGAAGGCTGTAGTATTCCTAGTCATTGTATAATGAGCATTAGATAAATTCTGGCTGTGAGCATCACCACCACCACACTAGCATCCTCCAGCAAATAGTATGATACTTACTAAATACTAACATCACTTACATAAATCATGGGATGCATTTTAAAGGTAACCCTTTCATCCCTGAGCAAGGACCAGTTTTTTTGGTTTGGCTTATAAAATTAATTTTCACCTAGAGGTACTCCTTCATTAGTGTATAATCTCTGCTTTCTGAAGGTTTCATTGAACACCTGATAGCAACTCATCAAGGCTGTTTTTCAATGGATTTGCCACTTGGGCTGGATTTTACCCTCGAGAGACTTCAGAACAAATGTTCAGTCATAATGATCACAACTCCTCTTGTAACAGTCAAGGGAAAGGTAAACCTGGCCATGAAAATAAGGTTTGTGTACAGAGGTGTCAAACCTGGGGCTCCATGTGACTGCAACTTTAAGGATTATTCGGTTTATTTTTGCACTGCAGCTCACTCACCTGTCCCCTAAGACCGAGTTTTTTGTTGCTTCCTGCACATGTTAGAAAAATGCCTTTCTACATCTGCAGAAAACAAGTAGTTGTTGTCATCACCATCTCTGCCCTGTGAAACCCTAGTGAGGCGATAGAGTTACACATTCCGTTCCTTTAAGAGGGGCGCAGCCTTTCAGCCTCATCTTGGGGAGCTGCATCCAGAAGACCTGACAAACTGGGCTTTTGAGTTTTGTGGATTTAGACATTAACTCACATGTTTTTAAAATAAAACACTTTTCAGAAACAACCCCTCCTCTCCGCCCACTCCTCAAAAGAGATAAAAGGCAAAGGAACAGGTTAGAATTCTCTCTGCTGCTGCAATCCAATTTGTAGGAAAGATCTTGCTTTCATTCTTGTTTCTGTTTTTATAGTTTTGTTTTGTGTCAGTTGGTTTTTTAGCTGTTATGTAACCGGGTGCAGTACGTGGTACAGGAAATAATTTTGCCACGCACCTGCACAGAAAAACCCACATCAACCAGTTTGCTTTGGCCATCAATCTGTGGGACCAAAAGCTAAGCCTGAAAGCAAAGGTGAAATAAAATACGAAAATTGCACAGCAGCCACGGAGGAGTCGGCTATCCAGAGGCCCCCGCTGAAACCCCATCTTTAGGGTAAAGTTTCAGGCACATTTTGATGTTTTGGTCACCTGACCCAAGCTCTGGTGCTCCATTGGCCCCCAAATTTACAGGCTAAGTAATGATGTAACCAGAGTGTGTGGGAACCAGAAGGATGAGACAGATACAATTTTTCCCAGTCGTTTATTAGACTTGGCTACTAATTCTGCTTGTTCCCCAGTTTGACTGCTGGTTATCAGGAAATTTGAACTACTTAAAGGACATAATGAGTTTATCTATACCTGGGGCATAATTTAGCCCCATTCATGTAAAATTAAACCACAATGACAGAACACAGTAATTGGATAAGTTTAGTTATAGGTATTTGAATTTAAAGCAAAATATTTTAATGTTGTTTCTTTACTTCTTTTTATGAAAAATCATTTACATTATCACTGACAGTATCCTTCTTAAGTTGCTTAAAGACTGCATTGAAATGAATATGTTGGTTCATCCATCATTTTTCTAATCCTTTCCTTAATCTTAGAGAGCTTTCAGCTAAATAGAGTGTTTATACGCTTGTGATCTGTCACTATGGGAACTTTTGGCCTCTAAAATGCTGATGCTGTGTCAGAGACAACCAAGAGTAGAAATTATCCAGGCTTGACAAAAGTAAGCCAATCCAGTTTGGCAAACTTTGAGTGGAACCCAACACAGCAGGGCCAGGATGCTGAGGGACAGAAAGCATTTTTTGTTCTCTCTATAGGACCCTGTGTCAAGAAAATGAGCACATATTTGTGTTTCTTGGTAAAAATAGGAGATCTAATGCTGATATTAGAACTTAAAAGGAATTTTCATCTCTGAATGTCATATAATCCCCATCACTACCACCAAAGAACTCATGTAAGTGATTTCTAGCACACACATTATCTTTCTAATCTGTTGGCATGAGTTTACAAAAAATTTTCTGACTCATAATTCTAAATGTGTTGAAGATATGCTTACAGTTGTACCTCACAAGACCTTATCATCAGTTTCACAACAGACAGAAAATGTCATGGAGCTCCAAAATGAACACTGTACAGTAAACTCTCTACACGATTTTTAAAAAATTAATTAATGTTTTGTTTTGGTGGCTTTGCATTCATAGAAAGCATTTTGCATCCTCAAAATACTGAGTTTAGTTAGCAGACATATTTTAAGAAAACAAATTCCTAAAAAATCTTCTTTATCAGTCTTCTTGTTTAAAATGGATATCATACCCAACATGTACACAAGAGATATGGTGTCTGACATCTACTTCGACTTGTTGAGAACTATATCAAACATTAATGGGGATTAGTGTGAGAACCGGTGTAAACATAACAAACAATCTGCTCAAAGTGCAGACTCACATTTCCATATGTTATGTGGTAAGCACAGTCATTTAAGAAGTGAGCTGCTCAGGGAGCTGGTGTTTGGGTAGTGAAACACGCTCTGGGTATATTTATTTCATAATGCCAGCATCTACACACCTACCCAACTGTACTCCTTAGCTTCTCCTCAAGAGACAAGTCAAGTTCGAGAGATGCAATTTCATTCCAAAAAGTTTCAAAAACACAGATAAAAATGATTCAGTATTTCCAGATGCACAGTAATTCTTGGCAGAAAAAGTTAATTCCAGGTGTGTAATCTCCTAAAGAAATCTGTTGTCAAAGCTGGATAAAACCATCACAGTAGAAAAATAGAAGTTCACCTATGAACAAAGTACAAGATACGGCTAGGAAAACTCTCCGCTCCATGCAGAAATTACAGCATAAAAGTGAAACTGCCTTTTACTTATGTAAACATCGCTAAGTTTTTGGGCATCATTTCAAAAGAGGTAGAACCGAGCATGCACGAGCACATAGAAATATGACATGTTCGTGGTGGGAGGTTTAGGGTGGGGTTCTAGTGCCAAGCCAGACTCTAATACACAGACAAAGGAAGACAGAAGACGAATTTTATAGCTTACAGATTTTTTTCTTCCTCTTTTTTTTTTTTTAAACTGCTGGACCAACCAAATAACTCAATCAACAACAACAAAACAGAGATGTGCCACACAGTGGAAAATGTTGTAACAGCTTCAATAACGAGGGGCCCCTGGCAGGAGTGGGAATTCGGGTGGAGGGGGTCAGGGAAAGAGATCCCATATTATGGAATATTTAAACTTTGTAATTCAATGCACATTTATTAATTGGTTTCTTTTAAAGAGGCACTTATTTATGACAGGTTTGTGAACAATATAGCATGTACAGAGCACTGCAGTTCTCCCATGGCTTGTTTTGATTTACATATGTTCAGATGAAATGAACATCACATTTCACAGGAGTTCCAGCTGCTCTTGAAGTGTTTGCCAATACTACGTCTCCCAGGAGTTGTTACCACCAGATTAATATCCTGTGGGTCACTTAATTTAAAAAACCATATTATAGAAGCATTATATGATTAGATGTACTCCTTTTATAAGCCCGCTGGGGTGTGTACTTTGCATCTGGTTTAGAAAGGCTGGTGAGATTCTAACTTATGTAGACCTCCAACCTGGAGTCTCTGAATGGCCAATGACTAGACCAACACATAGTCAAGTGAGAAAAATAGGTCCTGTGTCCACCACCAGAAAGTGCCTTGAAATCGGATCTAAAGGAACAACTTGCTTAGTCAGAAACAGACCTGAACCACCACCGGGAGGAACTGGCTTCTACAGAGTGAAAGGAGATGTTATCACACGTGCCACTGGGCCCACTGGTCACCAAATGCTCACAGTAAGTAGAGAACCATGCTATTTCCACATTGCACTATCAAAGCCAAGTTCTGCACTTCAAAGAATATTTTAGTCATGAATTTAAAATCTGTTCTTCTTTCTCCTTGTTAAACATTTTGGGGAATTGGACATATCCCTCACTACCACAGGAAGCATGCTTTTTGAATAAGAGGAGGAGCTGGCTATGGGCTCCAAGGCCCCTTTGGAGTGGGATGTCCATCATTTCCTGCAGGAGTGTCAGGTGTTATCCAGTGTGGCAACTCCCTCCTGGCAACCCGGGAGCATCAATCATCATTTATGGTCCACTTCTGATTATCTGTACACAGATAATTCACTTAGCTTCCTCCAGGCCAGACTCCAAAGGCGTCTTACTATCATCAGGAGGACAAGAAAGCCTAAAAGACAACCAGGTAGAAAATTGTGAGCTGGAGAATCTAGGTTTGATGAAGACTGTGGGTAACTGTGATTTCGTTCGCAATCAAATAAAGACCATGTCTTCCTTCACTAGGGAAAATCTGCAACAGTTGCTTGCTTTGTAGCTGCATCAGACCTTTGTGGACAAACACAGAAGGCTGAAGAGCTTGTTCTAAAATCAGAGTCTTTCACAGTACCAATGGGTATGTTCTTGAAATTTTGTCACCAAGATAAACTGTACTGATTAACTGTCAACTGCATTTCACTAAGTAGAGGAAAAAGAAATTTTTATGAGTTGAGACTGGAAGAGATGAACTGGGCAGCAGAAATACATACCTCTGAGTTTGCAAAAGCAGAAAAATTCCTGGCGTGGATTCAAAGCACCATCAAGCGCTCACTCCCAGGAGGAAGATGAACATGGAGAGGAGAAAGGCAAGGCCAGGGGTTGCGCTTGAAGTCCTGCTCATCCGTTTAAACAGCGAGGGTCGCCCATCCTTCTGTTCGACCGCAACCACCTGGGTTTGCCCACTGTTTTATTTTCTTAACCTGACACAACATGGAGGTAAGAAAAGGTTGGTAAAAAGATGAATCACATTCTTTGTACCCTGTTCTGCTACTTGTCACATTTCTAAAATACCAACCTCCCAGAGCCCACCCTCAAGAGGAAGGGGGAATCTTCAGCTCTATTCATTTTTGACAAAATACCAACAATTCCTAGGAACTGGGTAATTACTGAAACAAATTCTAGTTTCTTACACTTGCATCTTTAAAGCAGTAACAGGTAGCGACCAGTTTTGATTTGTACTGACTTAGACACTGGGATGCTGTTCCAAACAGCCACCTTGATCAGGTCACAAAGCTTCTTTATGGCTATTTCTTTATCTACAAAACCATGAAGATGTGCTAGGGACGTGTACCAACTCCCCACAATGAATATAATCATTACCTACTGCAATCATGTACTGGTAAAAATAAAATTTCTAACAGTTGCCAAAAAGGCCTATGGTATTATCTAACCTGTATAATCCACAAAGTTATTGAGAAGAATTGAATTCATGAATATGGGAATATCTACAGACTATGAAGGACTACAACTAATTCAGAGGATGATGATGGTGGTGGTGTTGATGGCGGTGAGAGAGCCTCCAGGTGATGGGAATTCTGTACATTTATGAAATCTTGGGTTAGTAGCCATCATTTGGGAGGTTTCATAAGCGTAATGGTATTCCTCAAACAAAAACTATTTTAAACACATAATGTACACTTTTTCAAAGAAGGTTTATGGTACACACTCCAATATTTACTACTGAAAAATAATAACGATGTCAGGAGGTAACCACCGTTACTTCATTACGTTTTGTTTCCCTGCTTTCCAAGTGAGCTGCCTCCCCTGAGTGACGCTCAGGAAGGTCTGGCCTTGTTCTCCTCGGCCTTTATTCTTTGCATGATTATGCCCTGCCCTATCCAGGTGCTGCAGTTTCTGCCAAAGGATGAAATAAACATTTCTTCAGTATCATTGCCCAAGAGATTTTACTTTTGATCTTCTGTGTTTACTTCAAGTGGCTGCTAGTTGATGAAAGAATGGGAAAGAGGAAAATGAAACCTATACTGAACACTAAAAGTATCCCTTGAAAGAAACTATAATTTTCCTAGGATGCTGAGGATTTAATGCTCCAATAGCAGCTGATGCTCTAGCATGCAAGCCACCACTATCAAAATTCTGCCTTTGTGGAAAGCTGTACACATCTCTGTCCACAGCGCCCTCCCACCAACACTGTCCCTACCCCAGTTCTGAGTCAAAGGCAAAATATAGATTCTTTTAACTCACGTGCTTTTCTTTTACATGGAGCAGCTAGAAACTCACTATTCAAGCTGAAATGCATGTCCTGCTTCTGTAGCTGAACAGGTCCACAGAGCTTTAATTGGGAAGAGATCCTAAGACAAAAGAACATGGTCCAAACAGGGCACCCTCTAGGGTTGCCCTCCCTTCCTATTTGGACACATAAAACAAGGTGAGATCAGAAGGAGCAATGCCATCCACTAAGATGCAAGGGTTGTAACATTCTGGCTGGAGCATCTTTTGCTAGTCCTGTTTTCAGATAAGCAGACTGAGAAGCAGAATACCTGGAATCCTCTGCAAATGGACACAGAAAGCTGGTGCCCTATTTTCCTGTCTACCTTCAGTAGCTGTGCTAGGATTTCAAGAACACTTGAAGGCCTCTTGATTTCGCCCATTAGTCCTTATCCACCGTGGGCATTTTCAATTCTGCCAACAGAGTTTATAAATCCATGCTGTAAATGTCAGGACCTTCCCAAGAAGGTTTGCTAATTATCCTAACTCCCCCTGCTGGTGGGTTTTACTACAACCCAAACTCAAAACTGACTTGTACACAGTAACAACTGTTAAAAATATTTTTCAAATTAATTCACACACTCAAAGAGAACAGAGGAAGGAAAAAAATTTTTTTAAAGGCACATTTTACTTGAGACTGGAACTCACTACAACATAAACAAGATGGGGGTTTGATATTACTTTTAAAACTAGTCTTTGGGATTAGATTCTAAAATATCAAATAGATACGTTGGTCTAATTTCTCCCTTATTCTTTTGGTTCCCACACTCCTCCTCATTTTTGTGGCTTGCGATATTTCCCTTTGTCTCTAAGCTCTAGACTTCTACTTAATAAGTACCAATAAAGATTGCATGTTATCCTTAAACAGTGGTAGCATTCCCCACCTGCTAATTGCTTTATTTGTACTTACTGTTTCCGCCCTCTCATCAACAGGGGCTTTAGTATAAAGGGCAATGAAGTAGAACGTGATGCAGTGAACAGGAGCCAGCCGAGTGAATGCTTCTATAATTACACAGTAGCCTGGAGTAGCTCTTCTCAAATCAAATTATGAGCCTGGATTACCTAAAACTCTCAGGACACAGCCTGGGTTTTCATTTGTCTGTAGGTTACTGTCGGCAAGCAGCCTTCTTTCCTACAGCCTTTATTCTTTGCAGAAATTATCAAAGCCCCAGTTCAAATGCAGCATTCCTAAAAGCAACGAGAGACCGTGGAGGATGCCATTTCCTTAAATGGTTTTGTCTGATTCGGTGTGTTATTACCACTTATTTTTTAAAATTTTCAAAGAAACAAAAGGAGAAACTTTTTTCATGTTTATAACCACCTCTGTCATTTGCATATCAAAGTTTATCCCCAGCTGAGCTTATTCATGATTCTTTGGCAAATATTTATGCCTTGTCAATGTCCCAACCACCCATAAGGCAACGGGAACAAGAGTCAATAGACCTCAACAATGTTTGGATCCTTGTTTGAACACCTGACTCCCCCTCCCCCACCCCAGAAATGTTCACTACACAGGAAATAACACAGAACTAAGGAGACCAGACTGAGGTCAAGCCATCTGGAACTGGGGATCACATCTGATGCTGACGAGCTGTGTGGCCCTAATAACAACACTCATTCACCTCCTCATTTTCTCCACCTGACAGCCAAGGAGATTGAACTAGACCGTCTCTGAGGTTCCTTCTACATCTGTGGTTTTGTGGGTTCATAGTACACCCTCGATAACACACATGGGCAATGTACAGCCTGCTTAATAAAGGTAGCTAATAAAGCAAGATGGCAATCTATTCTCAAATGATGTAAACGTTTATTAAATTTGGTGTGTTCAGGATCAGGACAAAAATGAACCAGAAGCTTAGATGGTTGACGGGTCCTGAAGGAGAGAACTGGTTTCTAGTCCTAAATATTACAGGCTCTGTAATAATGGGTCATCCCACCAAAGCTTTCAGATCGCTAAAGTTGTTTCTGACCCTAAAATTACCACTCACATAAAAGAAAAAAAACATAGCATCACATTCAGTATTATTCAGCGTATCCTTCTCTATCTTGGTGAAAAATGGATATTGGCATGAATAATCATAAAACAAATATTCTCTGCTCTGTATTGCCCTACAATAGACAGTTTTGCATCATTTTATAGATAAAGCGGACATAGTAATAGGAAAAATAGGTGATATTATAACACTACAAAGTTAAGATAATTTTTCAGATACAGTCATTGTAGTGATGAGTTATATCTGTCAAGGTAATTCTTGATATTCTAAAATGACCATGAGATTTTCATTTTCATGGCTAACAGCTTAATTTAGAAAATCATACCAAATTAAAAGCTAATATTAATTGTAGTTCCATTTTTATAAAAAGTCCTAAGTTTCTCATATAAAGCCTTTTTTAATAACCCATTAGCTAAAATGTCATAAAATAAACTGAATTTTAAATTACTTCCGCTTAGGAACTAGAGAACTTTGTTAATGATGTAAACTTAATTAGCTTTCCATATTATTTTTTGCTTGATTTAAAAATTATAAGCCTAAGAGCCAGCACCTTCTAAGGACTTCTGTATTTACTTAGAATACAAACTCTATTCACAAGACAATACTGCCCAGTCAGGAAGAAATCAATAAGACTGCTCACGGGACTCCACACTGACCCTGTTTGGAGGTACTTCTTGTTTGGGGGCACTCTTGTTCTTTGTGAGGCTAACAGAGATGGATGGGCAAAAGAATACCATATGGGAATGCATTAGATAAGCAGATTACACAAGAATTTTTACTTCCAAGTACACAAATTATAGAGAGAGAGACAGTAACAGGAATTTGCCTTCTGATCTTTCAAATTACGATAAACCCAAAGTCCTTGATCCAGAATTCTCTCGTAACATTTGCAGAAATGTTAAATCTGGTTCGCAACTTGAAAAGTTACAGAAGCGCTGAAGTTTACCCTTTTGAGGTAATGCCCTTGATCAATGTTTCTCTCCTTCACTTGTGGTTGAAAACAGCAACATTTTACCAGAATCAATTACACGGTGTTCATCACAGTCATTGATTTGCCATCAGTATTACTGCATCTGACTTGGTCTCATAAATGGATATAGACATGAGTTTGTAAAATATATGTACATAAATTGTGTGTGGCTAGGTGGACACAGAATATCAATTTTATAAGCACAGAATTATATTTTTAGGAGTATATTGCTTTTTACAACTCCATTTCTAATCACCAGCCCATTTTCAAAATTTTCTCCAAAGTAAACCTAAAAAATACACTTGTTCGGAATACCAGTTATGCATTCTATATCTGAACCCAAGCTGAGCATAACACAATGCACTTTTCCTTATCTGGCTAACCTTACAATGCTAATTTCACTAAGTCTCAGTTTACTCATCCATAACATGGACATAAAAATGGCATCTATTTCACAGAACCACAGTGAAGACCAAATGGGTTTAAACGTGTAACAAGTTTAGTAAAGTTATGAGAAATAACAGATAATTACACAGTATTACTATATTAACTCATTTACTTAATCCTATAGATAAATAAATATCTGTAATTAAACTACTTTATTTGTTGAAAAATCTTCCAAATGTATGAAATTTTCAAAGCATGAAGTCTCAATCCATCTTTCCCTTTATTCTCACCGAGTTCCACTGAAGTAGAAAAAGAGTTATTGCTATTATTTTTCACAAATCTTTATGCCAAAGCAAAATAATTGGGTTAGAGAGAAGCTCTTTCCAATAGAATGTTTTTTGATGGTGAAAATATTCTACATCTATAACATCCCTTGTAGTCATGTGCAACTAATGAGCATTTTAAATGTGGCTAGTTTGATTAAGGAGTGGAATTTACAATTATATTTTAATTTGAATTTTTTAAAGCTGGCATGGCTAACAGTGACCACACTGAACAGCACCATTATGACAGACACTGCAGTCGCACCTAGGCTTCCGTGGTGGTTGTGCCAATTAGCACCTCTGTGACACTTAATGCCTCAAGTCCAGGTCCTTAACATATAAAAGAACAAAGTAATACCTATCATGTACAAAATGTGCAACATTGGTACAGTACCTGGTGCAGTGCAGTGTGAAACTCTCCTGCCTCTCTCCCTTAGTCTGAATTAGTATTATTTGGTGGAATGACTCTGAAAAGGACCAGACACAAAGCAGAGAAAACTTTTTAGCTATTTTTGATTCAAAGCTAAAAACACTGTTCCTGCACTGTTCTTGCTTGTCCCGTGGTAAGTTTTAGAATTGAATGAAAATGCAATTTTGGTTTGGTTGGTTTGGGTTCATTGGGTTGGGTTGGTTGGTTTGGGTGGGTTTGGGTTGGAATGGTTTGGTTTGGTTTGGGTTGGGTTGGATTGGTTTGGTTTGGTTTGGTTTGGTTTGGTTTGGTTTGGTTTGACTTGACAGTGATCCCTCTCTCAAATAGCACAAAACTCAGACATGGCGCTGCATATGAAGTCCCTGGCAGGCTGTGGCATTACACATCCATCTGTATACTTCTCTGGGCATTAGCCACAATCTAACCTCTTATTATCTCCTTGCCAAAACGCGGAGAGCCAATGTTCCAATAATCTTGCCATTTTGCACCTATATTTTCATCAAAAAAATAGTTGGGAGCTCAAAAGAGAACCTCCTTATATTGCAAATAACTCACAAATACAATTCTAAAAGGTAGTGAAAGACATTTTTATGTGTGATGGATAAAAGTGCAAGCTATTTTAATATCTTCAAGGTCATGGTCCTAAGGGTCTAGGAAGCACAACTCAGAACAAAGCTGAACAGGTGATCAAAATTCCAGCTTTACTGTGAAAGAACCTGGAAGCACAAATTGAAGTGTTAGCACTCCTAAGCCGGGGGCTTGATATCAGAAGGGCATGATGGAGACCAAGCACCTTGTCAGCAGCCTCATCCATTTTCAAGGGTTAGTCATTGTTGAGAAAACCTCTTACAATCAAACTTTCTCCCTCACGCTTTAAGGATTTTGGCCAAGCAAGTTGTTTATCCTGAGCATAAAGATTTCCTGGGCATTCAGCAGCTCTATCAAAATACTCTAGCAAGGTTATGATCCAAAATTATGA